ATAGTACATTGCAACAGATGAAACGCGGGTTGCAGCTAGCAGGAAAGGGATTAAGTGCGAAAAGAATGTATGGAATTAGCAGGGGAATTATGCAATGAAAACGAATGACATAGTATACCGTATAGCTATTTAAAAAAAAGCAAGTAGTTCAGATGAGGAGGGTTTTACACAACAGCAGAAATTTCAATGAAGCTACTCCATTGGAGCCACTCCTCCGTTTTCTTCCGATTTGGACTGTGCAGTGGAAAAACGATATCTGCCGACGATGACCGGGGTGATTGTTTGAACAAAGAAGACGAAACCTCGCGGTGCGAAGAGTGTTCAAGGTCCATGAAACTGGTATATTTCTTAGGGGTGGCGTTTGAAGGAAACATCGACATCGTCTTGCTACGCACTCGCGGCTCGGATTTGATGGAAGATCCGAAGCCATAGCTCGAGTTGGAGCGAGTGTTGGACCTGCGGCGTTGCATTCGACTCGGAGCCGAATAAGAAGATGTCGAATAGGAGAATGAGCGAGAATAAGCGTGGGATCGGGATGGACTCATTGGAAGGATGTCTTCCTCGTCGTCGTGCTGGGAAGGAGCAGAATACGAATGACGGTGCGTTGAGCTAAAGTCGATGTCGAGATCAACAAAGTCCGCGTCTTCGTTAGAATCCATATCCCATTCGTCCTCGGAAGAATCCTCGTCTTCGGACAAGGACATAAAGTTGCTCGTCGTCTCCTCTTTAATACCACCGAATTTGAATGAAGTCAATGCGGTGTGGGACCGACCTTCGAGTCGGGCAAGAGCATCGGATCGTTTGGTTCGGCGATAGTTGGTGGAGACGGTGGAAGAAGCAGTCCTGGTAGATGTGTTGCGAGTAAGGTTGGGAATGGTCACCGATTTCGACGGGCCAGCGATTGCATTGGAGTGAGATGGAGGAAGAAGAGTGGAGGAAGCTCTGCTAGTGTTCGGAGCCGGTAGCGCAGGTAATGCGTCGGCATATTTGGGCATCGGCTTCTGAGACGGAAAGTTCTGCAAAGATGGACGGGAACGAAGTGTATGCAGAGATGGTGCACTGCGGCCGTTTTAGGAAGACGAGTTGAGGAGCACAGGATTATTGAGACGTACCGTAAAGAACCCGCGCCAGCTAAATCTAAAGATAAAAATGATCGTTCTTTGTGGAATTGCTCCACACTGGCAGTAGGAGACAAAGTATCTGGGAGGCTACCTCGGCGACGAAAGTCGACTTCGTAGAAAAATCCTTCCTGGACCTCGTTGGTGGCGTCGGGTGAGGATGGAGGCACCAAGCCTGACATGAAGAACTGCGAATACGGAGAACCAGTGCGAAACATTTCTGGAGAAGAGTTAGTAGAGAACTGGGGGGGTCCAGGTTGAACTGGCAGTGGAAGTACTAGCTATAAGTATCCAACCAATTAGTCGCGCCACAAAGAATCTATATACACACACGAGGCCAAAGCCACAAGAAAAAAGTCACTCAATGTCAGCCAAGATTTAATCGGGGTTTTTAATATTAGCGTGGGAATATTGGCTAGGCGACTAAGTCACAAACCTTTTCGGGGATGTGCCTGTCACAGTTATACGGGGACGCGTTTCCGACTTTGCCGATTAAGCTCCCGTATTCGAGTTTCGTCCCCGACGCGCTCGCCCTTTGACTGTTCGTCAAGGCAACAGTTTTAGTCTACCATAGCAAAAATCTCAAAGCTACAACTGCGATACTAGAGACAAATCAAGGCAAACTACTGACTTCCTGCTTTAAATTGACATGAGGATTTTGACATGATCTTCGGAGCTGATCATCTTCCCGCAGAAAAAGCCCATTGTTCTCATTGTAAGAACAAAGGCAAATATCTTCATCGACAATCGCGCTTGTAACATCACCTTCCGTAGGCATTGAGTCCATATCACAAAATTTCACACCGAATTTCACTGACTCCTGATGATTCATAGCTTTTTTTGCCGCCTGAGCCCTACGCACACATGTACATATACCAGCAAATTCCACGCCTGCGCCTCCTGAAAATCGTTATCACACGTCGGGAGTGATTCGACTTCTGAAGCAGCACTGGAGTCTCTCAGGTTCGCTTACCTTCTCACCTGACTCATCCGTCGTATTTTATCGTCCCGGATCCCGATATTTCGACCAATTATAGCCAATAATGCGAGCCTATAAACGCCTATGAACGTATGTATTCAAAATATAGATCCTGCCTGTCGTCATCCCGGATCCTCCCTCATTAGTGATTTGTGACCGCGAATTTGTGCATCTAATCACATATCCGGATGCTTTCGAAGAGGAGCGGGGAGGAGTTCAGGGTCGTCGAAACGCATAAATATGTTTTGGCTCAATGTTTCCCGATGCAGCAAAGTACCACCTGCTTTGACCTCCTGTAGTGGATCTGCGGAGCTTGAATGCGACACTACGGGTCCAATCGCTACCAATTCTCCTTGCTAGCAGCGCCACAGACAGGACTCCAATCAGCTCGCAACATCTAGGCTGCGTTACTTACGCTGAACATGTGTGTATGTGTTGTAGGTTTTACTGTAGGTTTATCGTGGAATATCATGGCCTTTTTTCCGTGATAACCGTGAAATGCGTCAGGGCGCAGCCGCCACACAAGGGACCACCAGTGTCTATGCTAGTATGTGCTGGCTTCGAGGCCTGTTCTTGAGGCTGTATCTGTCTGAATGTTTATTCCGCAGACTGCACGAGACTGTACGTATGAAGTCGTAAATACAGAAGTATCAAGGTCGAGACGTACCAGCCTGAGTTATTTGGCAGTATCTGGCTGCGTAATCCTGATATTATCGCACCCGGGACACAACTCCAAATCGTTTGAAGGTTGAAATGTACGGCAAAGGTAAGTATATACATTGGTACTCGTCATGATTCTGCCATTAAATCTGTTGACTTATTATCTCTCTCTCTACTTTTCTCTGCAGCTCGGTATATCAACTCGACCCCTCCCTGGCATGTATAATACATAGACTTCGTACCGAGCTATGGCCTGAGGTCATTTGAGTTGCCACATACAGTCACAGACACAGACATAAGGAAACATTCAGGAAACTTCTAGCGATAAGTGACATGATCAACGCCCAAATACTTACTGTCAATCTGTGAGGACATAGACCGACCTGAAAACCCCGGACCGTGTGGTTGTATGGTTGTATGCGGTTGTAGGAGTTCCGTATGATAAACACACCGGAAGGAGAAAAAATTCCGCTCGACGGAAATACCAAAATTCAGTGCAACTGATATATCATGTGACCGGCGATATGCCTGATATAGCTTATCCGCAGTCACATGATATATCAGTTAAGCTGAATTGTTACGATTCCGTCGAGCGGAATTTTTTCTCTTTCTGGGGTGAAAGGAAGAAACTTTAATCAGGATGGTCTGAATACCGCGAACTAAATGAAGCCGAGAGTGTACAAACACCCCAGAAAGAGAAAAAATTCCGCTCGACGGAATCGTAACAATTCAGCTTAACTGATATATCATGTGACTGCGGATAAGCTATATCAGGCATATCGCCGGTCACATGATATATCAGTTGCACTGAATTTTGGTATTTCCGTCGAGCGGAATTTTTTCTCCTTCCGGTGTGTTAAATTTGCTTTATCATCTCTTGCAAGTCAAGTTGATAGACCATCTATCTTGTTCTCGACCAAAGTCATAATCTGTTATGCTCGTGGCCGCAATCCATACGTTGTCGGGATATCTCAACAGTTGAGCCGTCGACGCTGTGTTGTTGCGACATTCTTAACTGCCTCTCGAAATTTCAGGTTAAAGGTAATGCCTAATTATCGGTGAGTATAGGTGTTTGCGGAGATTCTTCTGTCGGTGCCGCGACAAGGCTGCCAACGTTGGCAGTTGCCAAAAAAAACGGAGTTTCTGCGGAGTAGTCTGTGACCTTCACAACTTCTGACAGCCGTTCGATGTCCATCACCAAAATGACGTTCTATTCGCAAAGAGCAGCCCGTATTTTTCGCTCTCTAAAAGGCTGATCAACCGCATGCATTCGTTGAAAATCTATTCGCCTCCTGCTTACCTTGCGACTCTCAGGTCTTTTGAAAGGAAGGGGAAGCATTCGAGTAATTCCGCTGGCAGCGGGGTCTGAGGGATGCGATCATCCGGCTTGGATCTCTAGGAACTTGGGCTACCTCGCCCTCGTCGACACGACGTCGAGTCTGACTTGATATGGTAAAATCCGCGTCGAACGAAGTCCTCCTCGAGGTAAAAATTGGTATCGTGTACTACCGCGCGCTTTCGAACCTTTGGACATGACTGATATGAATACAGCCAGTGCGCATTCTTCCGCTTATTTCGCGCCCTTTGCTGCTTCGAAAATCAGTGTATATAGGAGTGTTGCTTGGTTGTCACTCAATTTGTCAACAAGGACAACATTTATTAGCACGACGTTGCACCTATGGCAGTGGTAAGTGGTAATTTCGTTGAAGGAAAAGAAAGAAAATTCAAGGAATTCGAACCCACAATTTGACGTCCTCTGTCCAAAATGCCACCGTCATTACTCGAAACCCTCATTACCTTCAGAGGTTGGAGAATCTCCTCAACCGCTTGAGAGAAGGTGAGCTGCCAAGGAAAGAGTCGAAGTCCGTAAAAATCGCCAGTATGTCGACGTTGGCATGCATAATACAGGATCATCTGTTCTTCTCTGCCAACCATCACCCATTTGTTTTTCGATTGTTGCCATGAAAATTTCGTTTAAGCACACAACTACTTACTCTGATCAAGCTCAGGCCTTTTATGAAAACGAAGAAATGAGATTTTGAAAGGAGAATAGGCAACTGTTCGGTTCATTCCTCGTCAATTCGGGGTTTGAGAAGTAAAAAGTCGGAGACAATTGAACTGTGAGCACATACATTCAGTTTTTGACCCCAAATGTGTCTGATTATCATCAGCCACGAGAAGATAGGGAAAGGAAAACATAGGTACCCCGAGTGACAGGAATTTTGAAGATGCAAAAAAATGTTTGCCTCCTACCAGATTCGAACTAGTGACCTCTCCATATAGCAATACGAGTGGAACGCTCTACCACCTGAGCTAAGAAGGCATATCAAATCGGGCGCTAAGAAGGGACGTGACGAAAGTGTTCAGCATCCTTGTATCCATATGTGACCCCAGGCATTATCATGAAGTGCACCGCGGATCTTCTGTCTTATCAGACCCGTACTCACATCTACCGCCTCCGTCGCGTTCTCACCTCAAGCACCCTTCTCGTTGTTTTTACAGGGTATACTACGCGCTTTCGTCCAATTTCTGCCGCTTTGCACATTGTTGATTGTTTACTATGTTGTGAGACATCGTATTTCGGTTCTAAACGTCGCGTATATCGTCATCGTGAAGGCGACTGCATTCTGATTGGTTCGTAGTATCCTTTTCGGTAATTCTGTTGGTGGACCTAGCTTGTCGGTGGCAAGTAATCGTGCATTGAGGTGGAAAAGGGAGGAGAGGGTCGGAAAATGTTACCGTCCTGCAGCTCTGAGGAATCGTTGTCAATCTGTTTGCGCTCCCTAGGGCAGAATGAGACCTTTTCCTCACGCCGTGTGGTAGAAGCTTATGTGGATACCAGGCCCATTAAGGGGTGATGTGAATAAACAATATCGACGAGGCGCCACGGTTGGACATATCATTTCCAGACGCAAAACTATGAATATCACGGAAGACGATGTTCCAGCTGGTATCGGGGCCTCGTCAACAGGTGGCGAATTTCGGTCAATATTTACCTCTACATAGGTTTCAACCTGAGAATTGACATACCAAGTGGCATGAATAATGTTGTATACTTGACTGTGTTCGACGATCTCACCTATATATAACAACAGCGTAACAGAGAACAGGTCTTTCGCGCTTTTGCAAATTTACAATCACCCTGTTTTTTTCAGTTACAGTCACAAGTGATTGCCTGCGCTGAAACAAAGTCGAGTCTTTGATCCCCCGGAAGCAAGGTATCAATGGGGCAAAAGTGAAGTAGATTGGAGAAGCTGTCCGAGGGTTTATGATACAGTGTTGACAAGTACACGATAACTAAGGAGACATGGTAAGAAATTAGGCAGATAGTCTAGAAATGTATAGTGAAGACTCACTATGACAAAGATTCCATCTAAGTGTACGATCATCTAAAATCACTGTTTGACTTCTTTGCATCTGTAAATTGCTCGTCTGATGCATGCTCTGTAGATTCTTCTTCACCATGATCCGCATTGAGTGAAGCTGCGATAGTCATGAGCCTACGAGTCAAGATGAATCGTAATCTTCGCGCAACTTAATTAATGTTAATTACGCACATTGCCGCATCTAATCCCACAAAAGTGCGCATTGCGTGTAGATCCTGCTGAAGCAGCTCGCAGAGATTGGACGTCTGCACTAGGGCCCGGTTCATTCTTCCAAAACTGCCTGCAAGTTGAGTGTAAAGTCGCTCTTTGGCTTGAGTGGCGCCTGTCACTTGCCCAGAGCTCCGCATTGCAGAAGGAAAAAGTAGTGAAATTAACATCACGTGCCACCCACCTAACATGAGCTTTGGCTTTGCCCAGTTAGGTAGTCTATATGAATCACAGCGATACTGGTACATATTGATTCTTATTCTTATATACATACTTGAGTTGATAAGATTCCTTAAATAATACTTGGAATGCAGTCCAGATAAATGCGGTGGGGCGTAACAATATTTAATCTTGAATATAAAGCAAAGATGGGCGATAAATGAGTCTGTGGATGCAGCAAAGCTTGACACCCCATGAGAACGCTTAATGTAAATGGAATCGCTCCAACAGTCCCGCAATAGAATTAGAAGGCGCCGCAGCATGCTGTGATGGAGGGCCCTGAGCGTAATCCGGGGGAGCTGAGAGACTAGGCGGCGAAGCAGCAGAGTGCGTACTGGAGTAGTTGGGAGGCAGAGGAGGTGCAGCGTAGATCATGGGATTATTGAGCTGTGATGGAGAGGGGGAAGGCTGATGAGGATGTACTTGGTGAGATCGTACATGAGAAGCAGGGGGAGATCGGGAAGGGCGGAATAGCTTGGATTTTGGTCTTGCGGAAGAGGGAGAAGACGAGGCTATAATAAATGAGTGCAATCAGAAATGTTGAATTGAGACAGAATATAATACAAGTACAAACCGTCATTCTTTTTGAGAGAAAGCTCTTTGTCATTCGGTAAACCTCCAGGTTTAAGGGGTTGAAGCTCGGGCATAAGAATCTTGCTGATATGGATACATAGACTACTCGGTGGAACATAGGCCGCAGGCTTTTTCCCTTTATCGGTATCATCCAAGTTAATCCTCTTGGGTCCTTTCTTGGCTTCAGCATCGTAAATCACATATTGATGTAGATCGTCTTCTAAACCTGCAAAAGCTGTGGACGACCTGACATGAAAAGAAAGAAAGCATATACCAGCTTTGTGCCGTATCCGCTTGGTTTCTTCGGCAACTTGGACAACTTTTTGTACTTCGAGACTAGTATGTGATTTTATCATGACAAACAGTATTGCATCGTCCTAATGAAAAGCTTGTTGAGTAAGGACTACCGGAAGAAGGATACATGGCACCTGAAGAAGGTTCCAGCAATACTGCGCATAATCATTTACGCTACCCTCAGCTTCTATTGTGACTTCATTAAATTCTCCTCGGATGGCGTGCAATTCTGCAATACGATCGACACCGGCCTTGGGTTCAGGTCTAGGAGGTGGCGTTGGAGGCTCCAAAAGAATGGGAGCACTTGCAGAAGGCGTAGTTGTAGGTGAAGGCGGAGGATTAACCTTCGGGGAGTGATAAGTATCGTTCAAGTCGTGGAATGTTAACAAAGCGGTCAAAATGACGATTTCCAGGCCTTTGCGGTCGTTGACATCGAATCTCAAGGAACGTCAGTGCATACGATTTGATCGACTCCGCTGGTGAAAACACACCGGTTCAAATTATAATCAAGCACTTGGACTGAACTGCTCTTCAACCGACCTGCAGGCTCCTTTGTAAGAGCGACTAGAACTGGCGGATCTGGCTTTCGTATCATGTAGCATTCTTCTCGCTTCCATTCGAATTCGTGACTGTCGATATGTTAAAAAAATCAAATAGGTTCATTCAATACATTGACGATTCGCACTTTTCCCATTGAAAAGACCATTTGAAGGATAGTGTCCCTGTGTATTTGAGTTCTACGGCGATAGTTGGATTACAAAGCTCCAGTGTTTTGACTTTGCTGGTTGCGCTTGGTGCGCTGGCAGTTACGAGCAATGATTCAGAAGCAAAATCTACTGGGAAGTATGTATCACCAATTACGATTAGAAAGCATATCCTGAAACACACCATACACCTCTACTTTGTATATTGATGCAGGAACGCGCTGCTTGCGGTAATGCACTTGACCAGTCGAATCTACCAAGTCTATGACATTGGGGTCGATTATGCTTGGAGTTACGATGAGAGTAAAGAGATTTTGATCTAAAGACATCGAAGATCGCTTTCAGAAATGCTACTTAACGTGGGAACTTTCAAGTTGATGCCCGTAGCCTGCGCCGCCTCAATGTGATTCAATTGCTCAGGATTGCTCTCATTCTCCAGGTGAGCAGAGTGGATGCCCTGATAGCTCAATAGGCTAATTGGCTAATCAAATACTAAGCCTTTAAGCTCTACATACTGATCCGCTTCTTACAAGGTTTAGCCCAAGGCGAGTATAGGTATATATTGGCAAAAATTTAGTTCGATTCGATATCAGAACTCACATCCACTGCAGGCGGCGACTCGTGTCGAATGATTGCCTTTTAGATAAACTCCCACCCGTCATGTTCTACCCCCCCCTCTCTCGGCTTAACTATACATTGATGGCGCTTGCCTGCTCGACGAGTCTATGTTTTAGATTGTTGCCCAATCACTTCAAGTTGCGCACTTATGTATTCTCTCGTATACAGTCCGTCCAATCCTGGCCCCTTTGTAAAATTTCCTTACCATCGACAATCCGACCTTTGCTTTCTTCAAGAATTCACTGAGGTGTAGGCAAGCTCATAATGTAGCAATTCCTGAGCTCCCTTCGAATCTGTACGCCAATAATCCAAGAAATTCAGCGTAACATTCTCAAAAGCGCCGCCGTTGTAAGTGGATTGGTTGACCAATTGTCAATTTCTATCAGTTACGAGAGCAAACCCAAAATTTCAAAGCTCTAGGATGTAGAGTGGACCCATCGTTTTACACGTGTGTTGTTTTACTAAGGTTCGTTCAAACTTCAGATCTTGCTCAATGTGTATGCAGTGACCAATTCATGCTTCTACCATTCCGCATAGAAAACTCGTCAACATCCTCGTTCTCGCCGCACGGGGACCTCACAGAATCACGTTGTCGGTTGCTGGACGAACCTTTGCTGATCGATCGGGCAGGGCACTCTATAGGCTATCACCCCAGTTTTTCTGCTTGAGGCTATTTGCTGGTTGAACTTTGATGTTTCCACTTGCGTGCCAGTAGGGTTCTAGAGTAGCTCTATTCGCATGTTCTCCTCATAAATACCCAACGTCTGTATATCCTTCCCTCAGTTTCCATCAGCGATAAAACCATTAACTCCAATCCTACAGTCACGGTCAAGATGTCAAATCCGTTTCATTTGGACCTATATCCTAATTTAGTGCCATTCATTGACGGAAATACAGTGCCCATACAAGAGCTGGACAGTTGTGTCTACCCTATAGGCGACCACTACAAGAACAAGGCTATATACTTCGAAGGAGGTAGATGGGGTGGAAAGAGGGTGCGAGCTGAACTGCATGAATTGCAACACGCCAATTTAGGGCGAAAGTCAGTTTCTCTGATATGTTCTCTTTCTTGACCTTGAATTCATTTTAGATATGCTGAAGTCGACAGAAGATCGATTGATCCACCCCCTGTTGCTTTGCTTCGTTTGTTTGAACGTACGCCCCCCAGTCAATATGGTTCTCTAGAAAGTGAGATCTTCAATTACGAGTAAGTCTTAATTGAGTAGTGTTCTTTAGATGCCAATTTCGCTACTGATTCCAGAATTGCGACCACACTAGAAACGTCGGGACTATGGGACTTTTATGTGCTGTGGATCTTATAC